ACAATACTTTCTGAGTTCCTTAATTGGGTGATGTGGGAGTCATTGCCGTGGGAGCTTCTCACAGTTACTCTGGCAGCTTGGTTTGCTCAGCTACAGCAGGCCCTGAGACTTCTAAGGCCTACCCCTGGTTGCTTATGTCCACGTCCTGTATGCCAGTTCCCAACATAACACCTTCATGCGTGGTGGCTTAGAAGTTTCTGCCCCGGCATGGTGACGTACTATAGGGGGCTCAGTGCTGTCCCCAAACACACATAAATGGTTAAGTACAAAGAGAGCCTTTCCTATTCTTTCTTTTACGTCTTCAATGTCTCTGAACTTTTCTAAGTATCCTTTCATTGTTCCATCTGCCCTTTCCACTATCGCCTGTCCTGTGGAGGAGTGTGGGATGCCAGTAACATGATTGATATTCCATAATTGCATAAATCGTTTCAGTGGCCCACTATTATAAGCTGGACCATTGTCAGTCTTGATAGTGCTAGGTACCCCTAACACAGCAAAACAACTAGTGAGGTGATGCCGCACATCCCGAGCCTTTTCCCTGGGTTGTGCAGTAGCCCATGTCATGTGGCTAGAGGTATCTATCGTTACATGCAAGTATTTTAACTGTCCCAAGGCTGTAACAGGAGTGACATCCATTTGCCACACTTCATTAGCTTTCAACCCTCTTGGGTTAACTCCACACCCGGGTCCCATTCCTAAATTATGATACTACATATGGGACAAGCCTTCACGATTGCTTGAGCGTCAGCATTAGACAAATTGTAGGCTCGAGCTAGTCCCTTCGCGTTCTGGTGAAATATGGAATGAGCTTCTCGAGCTCGGCAAAATGGTGATAGTGGAGCTTCAGTGACTGCAGCAGCAACTAATCGGTCGGCTCGGGCATTGCCTTCTCCGAGCCCTTGTTCCCACTGATGACTGCGAATATGAATCACTGCATACGGCTTACTTCTCTGTGCGATTGCAAGCTGCAAACTTGTCAATAGTTGAACCAGTCGTCCATTCTGCACTTCTCGCAAACTTGAGTCCTCAATGCGATTGGCTATGCCTACTACATAAAGAGAGTCAGATACAACACTCAACGGAACAGCTTTCCATTTTACAAACGCCCATACTACTGCGAACAGTTCTAGTGTCTGTAATGAATCCTCTTTCTGAGCTTGCAAAATCTGATGTTGCCAGCCATGCTCATCCTTCCATGTCACTGCAGCAGTTCTGGAGCACTTACCGGCATCTGTAAAGACTGTTATTGCGTCTGCAACTGGTTGGGGTGATCACTTTGGTCTACTTATCCAGCCCTGGTTTTTCATCCAGGACAAGACAGGAGATTGTAATGGTTTTGCTATTAACATGGCTCCATCATGCAATAGAGCAGTTTGCAGTTCCTCAGAATTTTGTATATACCATTCCAGATCACTTGACTTCATGGGTAACCATATGGTGTTAGGAGGGGCCCCGTCTACTTGCAAGGTTCTACTTCGTCCCTTTTTAATTAATTCTGCTCATGTGGTGATTTTTTCTTGAATTGTTCGTCGTGGCCGCAACGGAGGAGCTAGCCATTCTAGTACCACCGTATCTCCCTGCTTCTCCCCCATTTTTATTTTTTGCTGTGTTATCGCACCCATCAAATATTGGGGGCCACACAGAATAGTTAGATCAAGAGGCGCACCCTCTATACGCCGATGCGTAGCCCGTGTTGTAATCATTGAGGCTATTAGCTGTAGTGCTTGTTTTTGTTGGTCTGTAAGCTGAATTGGTGCTGCTGGATCTGTCCCTCGTAGCAAAGGTCGTAGTTGATTTAACAGCTCGTTGGGAATACCAACCACTGGTCGAATCCATTGCAAATCACCCATCAACTTCTGGGCGTCGTTAAGAGTCTTAAGGTCTGATTGTATTGTCAATTTCTGCGGTTGGATCGTAGCATCGGAGATATGCCATCCAAGATATTTCCATGGGCTTGTCTCCTGTACCTTCTCGGGGGCAACTACTAATCCTCTCTGTTTAAGTTGCTTCGTTAGTTCATCCTTTTGCTGTGAAGAAAATGGTGTTGACTGGGCCAATAGAATATCATCCATATAATGACAGATTATTGTTCCTGACCATTTTCATCGCAACGGCTGTAGAGCATCGTCGACACAGAATTGACATAGAGTTGGCGAATTTCGCATTCCCTGCGGCAGGACCGTCCACTCAAATCTCTGGTCTGGCCCTTCTCGGTTTATTGCAGGAAGTGTAAAAGCGAATCTTTGTTTATCATTTTCATGGAGAGCAATTGTGAAGAAACAGTCCTTTAAGTCCACTATGAGTAAATGCCATCCTTCAGGTATCATCGCAGGATTAGGCAACCCTGGCTGCACTGCTCCCATATCGTACATCTGCTTATTTACCGCACACAGATCGTGGAGCAGCCGATACTTACCCGACTTCTTTTTAATCACAAAGATAGGTGTATTCCACGGGCTCGTTGACAACCTTAAGTGCCCCTGTTGAAACTGTTCTTTAACCAGCTCATGCGCTTGTATCAGACTTTCCCGTTTTAACGGCCATTGCTCGACCCACACAGGATCATCATTCTTCCACCGGAGCGGGATCGGGAAAGTCCAAACAATGGCCATATCTATAAAGGGCGTTCCCTATAAAGGGCGTTCCCAGGTAAGGACCATTCCCATTTGAGCAAGGATGTCCCGCCCTATTAGTGCGTGCACCCCGTCAGGCAACGGACTAACAGAGACACAACATTTCACCACTTTGTCCCCTATTGTCCACCGCAGGGGTGGTGACTGACGGCAAGTGTCATTCCTCCGACCCCGGCCACCGTGGCATTGGTTTCAGATGTTGGCCAATGCTGCGGCCAGTTGTGTGTGCTGATTATAGATACATCGGCTCCCTCTTGTGGCTGGTCGGAGAGGAACGGGTTCCCCCTCGGTGTTGCTGTGCATGCGGCCGCGTTTTGTGTCGTCGCGGGGCGACTCTTCCCGCTGTTCCAGCCGTTTCCCGACACGTTGCATCGACATGCCGCTTCACTGTGATTGCCCGACTGACAATCTGAGCACCATACTGCCCCAGCTTTGCAGTTTCGTCTCACGTGTCCAAAAACACCACCAGGATAACATCGCAAGCGGTGTGGTATTTGGCCACCAGGGGGTGGTGCTTGACCACCAGAGCGTGACCCGGCGGTTTGCAAAGGAGCAAGAGCTGCAAGGACTTGACTCTGTGTAAACTCAGCATGCTCTTTCATAGCCTGTGCCTGCTCTCGCATGCTGTCACCTAATTGCTTTACTGCCTCTACTAACATAGCCTGTGGGCCTACTGGTACCTGAGCCATTCTTTCCAACCCTTCCTCGATTGTCCATGTCCCGGGTAAGGAAGCCAATATATTGCGAGTAGAAGGGTTGCTATTCTGAATTGCGCACTGTTTTAATATCGTGCCCTGGAGGTAATCAGGCACCCCAGCCGCCTGTATGGCGTTTGCTATGCGGTCAATAAAAAGCCCAAATGGATTCCTCTCTACCCTGTTTGATTCCCATGTAGGAAGGTATTCCCCCTGGCCCCTTTATCCGATCCAATGCTCTTCTGGCCGTTCTCATCGATTCCTTCGCTTTATCAGGTCCCAGCAATGCTTGTGCTTCTGTCCTAAAATACGGTCCTACCCCCATCAACTCTTCCAGCGTGACCCCATGTAAAGGGTCCCCAGGTGCTCTTACCACTGTGACTGCTTCTTGACAAGCAGCCTGCCAATGGGCATTAAATAAGAGCTGCTGGTGTTGGGTCAAAATTAACTTCATTATGCTACATATGTCTCCTGGAAGCAAAATATTAGTTCCCCAAATATAGTCCAACATCTGTCTCGTAGGTTCACCTTTCAGACCTGACTCATTTACTGTGGACCGCAGCTGAGTTAACAATTTCCAGTCCAAATTCACGAGATTAACCGTAACATTACCCTGGGCGTCCGGTGGTGAATATACTACCGGGAAGGCCTCTTGAACCAATTGTGCAGCTATCCCGTGTTCACCTTCGCATACAGCCTCATCTGCTATTTGCTTCCACACCCTCTGCCTCTCCTGAACACCTTCTATAAACGGGCTTGTGTTTTTTCTGTCTGGTTTTTGCTCTCTTATTTCCTCATCCATTTCCCCACTTTTGTGAGAAGGAGCCGGTGGTGCTGCTGGTGATGGCGGGAGCACCAACACCGACTCTGAGAAGGATGATGAGAGAGGAGGAGGCTCCCATTGCCCCCTGAGGCAGCGTTATCGTCCTCACTGAAGGCGGCAATGGGTAATCCCCAGCTCCCCCCATCCCTCCCTGTTGAGGGTTAACACTACCAGCACTTCCTGGCAATCCCAGTCGCTCTGTAGCAGCAGCAGCGACTCTCTGCTCAGCCTGATGTATAGCTAAGGCATTAGTGACTGCTCTCCAAGGCTTCAGTAATTTTTTAGCAGTCTTATTTTCATTAATAACTTCATCAAACAATTTGTCCCCAAATTTACTCCACTCTGTTTGTTCAAAAACTGTATCCGGATTGATAAAACAACCCTTTGTTACTCCATATGCTAATAATCCTGGTAAATCCTTTTTGCAGCCTATACCCTGCGTGCTCCGTTTTTCTAAAAAGCAATTGAGCAAATCATACGCCGCTTGTCTCTCCATACCTTTATTTATGCTGTTGCAGCCTTTGCGAGACCTCGTTCCCGCGTCCCTGCGCGATTCCGTTTCCCGCGTTTCCCTGCAGATCTCTTCCCACGCTCCCCACGGTTTCTTTTCCCCGTGTCTCACCATGAGTCCTTTGTCCGGGTCGGTGCTTGGAGTTTCTCAATGCTTCTCAGGTGTTCCGGCTTCTGTCAGGTCTGTGTCTCTCAGAGCCATCCGTGGCTCTGCAGCGTCTCTCAGGGCTCTCTCCGTCCGGCAGGAGTCCCTCCGTGTGCCTCGGGTCTCCCGGCGCCGCTCCGATGTGTCGGTCCCACGCCGCTCTGATGTCCCGGCGCCGCTGCTCTCCCGGCGCCGCCGGTCTCCCGCTGTGCTGCGATGTCCCGGCGCCGCTGCGATGTCCTGTTCAGGTCTCAGCCTGTTCGGGCGCCATTTGTTAGGAAGCACGGCCGAAAGCATGACAGACACCGGTTGAGTCAGATCATGCTGCTCCATTTTATTGCCCAAATGGCCTAACTTTTATAGTGAACTTAACAGGGGCAGACAGTGTTTCACACAAGATTATTGGTCAGCAGCACTCAGACAAACAACTAGAAGAAAACAACCCCACCTGCAAGAAAACAACCCCCCTTGTGTTTGTATGGGCGGGGGGAACGCTCTGCCCTTCCTGCTCCCCCTACCTGCGCTAACTGCTGCGCCACAGCCTTCTGACACGCCGTGCCCTGTTTGCCCAGCCATGCCCTGCGCCCCACATTTGGGGACCTTGCAGTAGCACGATTCTCAGAGAACCCCTTTCCCCCCATTATTTTTATTCCCAACTCAGGTAGCCATGCCTTTAACAGCAGCTTCAATTTTTCTTCCTTTACTCTCACCGTCTCTACATGGTCACGCTGGTAGAACCACAGGGTGGCACGGGCCTTGGTCCCGCTCTGCTCTCTTCCTTTCACAGAAGGACGCTTTCCCCAATACCTCAGAAACTGGTTTGTACAGCTCGATAGGCATGAGCCAGGCCCCAGCACGTTACAATGATTTGTGTTACTTTGGAACTGCCAGAGTCAAGACACCTTTTTTTCAAGCATTCTATCAGTTTTTTAGGATTTTGCAGTTGTTCGGGGGTGAATTTCCAGAACACTGGAGGTGCCCGCTGCTCTAGATGCCTGCCCATATCCTCCCATACTCCCTGCCACTCGCAACTATCCTGCCTCCAGGCAGATATCTGGATGAGATTCCTCAATAGTTGTTTAACTTCAAGCAAAACCTGAAGCATATTCAGGAGGCATAACAACAAGAACATGCTGGTCTGAGTATCCCAAGGATATTCAATATCTTGGAGAACTATTGTAACTAGCTTGGAGGATTAGAGGGTGGTGAAGGAGAAAGGGAGAGTGAACGAGTATGAAAAAGTATCTTCCCCTTTCCCCGCCACAGACTGACTCCACGATGAAAAAAGGCGATAGGTATAATTGCTAATAGTTTCCGAGATATGGTTTCCAGAGTATAGAGTTGACGACATCACTGAGTACAAATACCAAGTTAGAGTCATGACCAGATATTTCATCGTCTCATAAGCCACTGCTACAACACACAGTACCATAATGATCTTAAACCAGGGCCCAGAGAGGATAAACAACATGACAGAGAGCACATACGGAAAACAATGTGCTATAATGCTCAATTTGGAAAACAGGCACAGCAGACTTGGGATAAAAGCAATCAGTATTATGACAACTAACTATTAAGCAAGTCTAATACTTATAACAATTTTAGTTTAACACACTCTGGTCAGATCTGTTATTATCTCAAAACTTTGTGCCCCACGTTGGGCGCCAGAATGGACTGTTGTGGTTTAACCTGGCTGGCAGCAAAACACCACATAGCCATTTGCTCAACATCCCCCCTCCCTCTCTGGGATGGGGGAGAGAAACGGGAAAGTGAAGCCCGTGAGTTGAGATAAAGAGAGTTTATTAAGACACAACAACACTACTAATACTGTGTAAAAACAAGTGATGCGCAACGCAATTGCTCACCACCCGCTGACCGATGCCCAGCCTAAACCCGTGCAGTCCGGCACACCTCCCCAGGCTAGCCAATCCTATATATTGTTTAGCATGACGTCAGATGGTATGAAACACAGCTTTGGCTAGTTTGGGTGACCTACCCTGAGTCTGACCCCTCCCTTCTCTTGCTGCGCAGCCAGCCTGCAGATCTGGGGACCTTGCAGTAGCACGATTCTCAGAGAACCTCTTTTCCCTCTTTTTTTTTTTTTTTTTATTTACAACTCAGGTAGCCATGCCTTTAACAGCAGCTTCAATTTTTCTTCCTTTACTCTCACCGTCTCTGCATGGTCACGCTGGTAGAACCGCAGGGTGGCACGGGCCGTGGTCCCGCTCTGCTCTCTTCCTTTCACAGAAGGACGCTTTCCCCAATACCTCAGACACTGGTTTGTACAGCCTGGGAGAAAGATAGTCTCTCCTCACTGGTGGACCTATTCCAAATCTTTCTCCACAGCCGAGACGCAGGCCTGCAGGGAAGAGGAGAGGCTTTCTTCACAGTGCTTTTGACTTACTTGTTGTGAAAGCGGCATTTCTTTTAGGAACAGCACAGTCTCGCAACTTCCACTTAGTGAAAGTTATGATAACTCCACCTGTACCTTCCCCATCGGTTTCTACTCACTGCAAGGCATAATCTGAGTGCACATTAAGGCACCTTTTTCCACACTGCCTGTTGTTGAATCCTAACAAATAGTTAAGAACATTCTTCAAAGTCATGCTTACCTGTAAGCACTTGAGCTTCTGAGTTGGTGGGGCTTTCTTTTTAGCTTTCATTCTCATTATATTTGGAAGGGCTGGAAAGGGAGCTTAGAAGCCACAGAAGTAATTTCACTGAAAACAGACAAGGTGAAGGAAGTACTCAAACTCCTCGACATTAAAGAACCGTAGAACCCAGGAACACTTACCTGCCAGCTCCTGAACTTGAGTCACTTCCACGCTGCTTCACAGTGACTTCGCGTAACCAGGGTCTCACTGTACTGAGAGGGCACCAACAACGTAGCTAGCTCATAGAGTCACTAAAACTGTTTCACAGAGATGGGAGAAAACGTGAAGAAATAGCAGCCCACCGAGGAACACTGAATCCGCTCCACCACAACAGCAGAAAAGCACCCTAGAGAACCTGAGCCTCAAACTCTCCCACCGGGAAGGCAATTCCCCACAAGTCCTCAGGCTTCCTATATAGCAAAAGTCAAATGATCCACACCTGGCAGGTTTCACTTCACAAGGGTGGAGCCAAGAGACCTCCTGGAATAGGCTCATCTACCTGGCTTCAGTCTTTTAAGCTTAATTGCTCCTTGTCACTACTAGAAATAACCTGACAAGGGGCTTAGTGGTTAGAGCTGACCTAATGAATTAACTACAAAAAGTGCACAAGGGTCATATTTCTGTTAGTCATTCTGTGAGGACAAGTAGTACAGAGCCTGTTTAAATAAATAAATAAACAGACAAACAAACAAACGAAAGAAAAGACATCAAAGGAAAAAATAAAATGACCTTAAAGGCAAAATTGCTCTCATAGATTTTCATCTGTCTAGTCATGACAGATAAAGAATATAGCAATCAGAGTTACTTTTCTTGGCATTAATGGTATTTAAATCTGCTTTTCTGAGATGTCTTCTTTATGCAGGACTTTTCAAAATCTAGCCCCGTGACCTCCGACTACACTGTTTACTTCCACTGCGTATAAGCTATCACGTATGAATGCCAGGATCCGGATCGTCACTCACTATTCAGGTCAAGGACTGGTCCAAAGGTTTGGGTTTTGATTTGGGTACATGCCTACCTTGCTGTTTCCTGGCAGGTCATGGGAAGAAGATTGGCTGGCTTGGGGGAGCTCCTGTACACGTGGCTTTTAGGCTGCAGCCAAAGTGTTCCTCTAGATCTGGAAGTCTGAAGAGGGTTGCAGCCTCCAAGCTCAGATACAACCACATGTTAGTCTGGCGCAACTGATTTTTGTGTTCCTTGCACTGGCTGTGCAAGGAACCTCCTCTCCAGAGGCAAGGACATGCGTCTCTTTCGTGCTCCTTCGTTAGTGTCGCATTAAGGGGTGTAGCTGATTAACCGTTATGGGACCGGTCGGATTCAGGGTACCGAACCTGTCAGATACACCAATGACGCGTTAACTGTCTGGGGTCCGGTCAGATATTCACCAATAACGTGTTAACCGTCTGGGGTCTGCTTGGATTCAGAACACTGAACTATCACGGTCACAGATGCACCAATAACGTATAACCACCCTTACCCTAGTTGCACTTAATGAGAGCTATGACAATGCAATCAAGTGTGGTTTATTACAGCAACAGATAACCAGGTTCTTTGGATTGCCGGCGATAGTGCCTGTCTGCAAAAGCAAGCTAGCATGCATGAAATACACAGGTGTTTCAGGTGCGCAGCCTAGAAATTAATGTGTTAAATGGATCAAAGATTCTAGAAAGATTTATAACTGTTATATATGGAGTGGTAATTCGTGTCGAGGAAACGGTTGATATTAATAAAGAAGGGGAACTTTGGGAATGTGGCCATGGGCGTTGGAAAGCCCTGTGGTTGAGATAACATTAGACTCTTAACGACGAGGCCATCAGGAATATAAAAATGTTTAGAGGGAACAAAGAAGGGTGATTCAGGAGACTCCATGCAGTCTCCCGTTTCTTGTTCTCCAGTTAAGGCGTGGATGTTTCTGGGTGTTTGCTGTTGTCGTTACATTCAAAGTTGTTTGAGCAATGAAAAGTTGTTTTGAAAAGAACTGCTGTGGAGAGAAGGGTATAAGAGGAGAGCCTGCCCTCAAAATAAAAAAAAAAAGGCAACACGATGAAGTTGCATCAATAAAGAAGCAGGAACAAGAAGTGAAGAGGAAAAGGCTGGCAGAATGGAGACCAGGACGGGAACAGGCACTTTGATTGCCTCATGAAGATAGGTTCGGCCAAACTCAGCAAACTGCTCAGAGAAGCTCGTACAGAAAGTCGCTGGAAATAGGCGCACTGGAGCTGGAGAGAAGCTCGAGCTGAGAGAAGCGGAGCTGTGCACACAACTGCCTCTCGCTGGTAAGCAGTTGTGCATTATGGGGAATCATTCGTCCTTAGGAACAAAGACCGTCCTGGTAACCTTACAGCTTATTCTCCTTATTAACAATTGGACAGTTTATGAGCCTCAAATATGGGACCAAACTGAGGTTAAGGTGTGGGTCTCTGCAACTAAAAATGACAAGGTTGCAGTGGGATTTATCGGCACCTGGCGAGCAGTCTCTGAGGCCTTAAAGAGCCACGTGGAGCCACAATCACAAACGTGTGGCTTGCCAGATAGTGAGGGAGCTGCAGGCCCCTTTACTGATCCGACTGCTACGCCATGGGCCCCTCTGCTGTTACAGCCATCGAAGGCTTTTGCTGTTTCGCCCCCTGCCGACCTGAACGTGCCTTTTGACCCAGGCCTATTGGCCTTGAAAAGGAGATGGATATGCTTTTCTTCGATCTGGGAAGAACGAGATACATAAGGCCTGAAGACCAAGTTGCTTGACAACTTAAAGCGAGACACATCGCCCAAAAGGAATGGAAAATGGAGACTGTTAAGTCATGGAACTTAAAGGATTGTTTGTTACCTTTTCTGATCGTGCATATGTATAGGCGTACTCGATTTTTATTAAGTTATGGAACATAGAGGATTGTTTGCTACCTTTCCTGATTGTACATATGTAGAGGCATACTTGCGTTTAGTATGTAAAGCAATGTTCTGTATATTTAGAACGTTTGATGTTTGTGTGTGAGTGTTGGTGGAGCATAGACCCCCCGCACGCCCAGCGCTGTTTACTTGCTGTTTATGCTTTTTATAGCTGTTATACCTTTTAGAAATGTTTGTTTTATAAATATTACAAAATTCAGATTGAGTTGAGACCTCATTTATAACAATGACCAAGTGTTCAAATCTCACCCAAAGGCATTCCAAATGGAAGGGGGGGGGGGGGGGGGGGGGAGAGAGAAGAGAGAGAGTCTCAGCCCATCGACTGGTCCCAGGAGTCAGGAGGTCCTAAGGATGTTGTATTCCCTCGGGGTGGTATCTCCCCTAACATCCCCTCTCTCTTAGGCCAATTTATATTATTTTCTCTCTTTTGGGTGGAGCTTGAGTGGCTCTAGTCGAGCATATCTTAGTTATGATTGGTGAAAAATTCTCCCGTCTCCGTTTAAAGTTATAGGCTCCGAGAAATTCAGAGCGCATGCTCGGTGAGGGGTGGTTGCTAGTGAACAAAGCAGGAGAGATTAAAGCCTCCTTCTTCAAGTCAGCAAGATACTGGGCTACAAAGATGGCAAAGGGCCTAGAGGGGAAGTCGTATGAGGAGCGGCTGAGGTCACTGGGCCTGTTCATCCTGGAAAAGAGGCGGCTGAGGGGAGGCCTCGTCGCAGCCTACAGCTTCCTTGAGAGGGGGAGTGGAGGGGCAGGGACCGATCTATTCTCTTCAGTCACCACTGATAGGACCCACGGCAACGGTGTCAGCCTGAGGCAGGGGAGGTTTAGGCTAGACATCAGGAAGAGGTTCTTCACGGAGAGGGTGGTCGCACACTGGAACAGGCTCCTCAGGGAAGTAGTCGCTGCACTAAGCCTGTCAGCATTCAAGAAGTATTTGGACTGCGCACTTGGTCACGCGGCCTGAATTTTTGGGTACACCTGGGTGGTGCCAGGAGTTGGACTCGATGATCCTTATGGGGCCCTTCCAACTCGGGATAATCTATGATTCTATACCCGCCTTTGGTTTCAGTGAGAATTCAGGCCCTGAAAACAACCGAAGTTTCTTCTGGGTGGTGTTTTTTTTCTGAATAGGGTAACTTCATTTCCCTTTGAAGACTTACGAGGATGTCCTAACAAAAGTTACAAGGGCAGGAAACAGTACCTGAGGCATAGGCTACTTTGCAGCCGGCAGCAGACTATAGGTATGATATTATCATTGCAGACAACTATAATCTATGTAATGTGAAGTGTTCCGGCATGCTAACACTCTGCCAAGGGCCAGAAAATGGGACCTTCATTTTAAGACTGTATCAAAAAGGAAACAGAAGCAACAACAGAAACAATGGCGGCGAGGCCTGGCGGCGGCGGCGCTGCCACCGCCCGCCCGGTAACGACCACGGAGGCGGCTGCGTCACTTCTGGCCGCCTGCGGGTCACCGGTGCGCAAGGCCCACGCCAAGCGCACGGCGGCCGCGCCCCTGCCGGAGGCTCCTGAGCAGAAACGGCGCCGCTCCTGGTCCCTAGCGGCCTGGGCTCCCAGCAACTGCGCCCCGTTGCGGGCTATCAGCGTCCCGAAAGCACCAGGCCCAGGGCTTTTCACCAGCCAGTGAAAAGGACTCGGGGGCGGCTTCGGGATCGGCAGTGCCGCCTCCGGTACCGGGGGTGCTGCGGTGGGCGGCGGGGGACCCGAGGGGGCAGCTGGCAGAGCTGTGGGAGAAGACGCGGGGCCTGGAGGATGACATCCGCTCTCTGCGCACGGAGCTGCAGCAGTCCCGGGAGGAGTGCTCCAGGTGGCAACGGGAGGCGGAGGCGGGCGAGTGGTGGCGGCTGGCGGCCGAGCTCCAGCAGCGGACTGCGGCCAAGCGGCAGTGGCTGGCGGCTGAGCTCCAGCAGCGGCACCGGGAGCTGGAGGAGCTCCGTGTGGCGGCGCGGGACCGGGAGGAGCGGCTGGGGGCCGTCCAGATTTTGGGGGCTCTTCCCCGAATTCTGCTTGGCTTTTCCTGCAAACTTTGGGGGAGTTTCCACCAATTCTGTGCGTTTCCCAACCAAAACTTGGCAAAGCTGCGGGAGGTGTCAGGGGCGCTGTCGCGGCGCGAGGCGGAGGTGTCGGAGCTGGAGCGGCACCGCCTACACAACCAGCTGCAGGAGCTCAAGGCAAAGCTGCGGGAGGTGTTGGGGGCGCTGCCGTCGTGCGAGGCAGAGGTGTCGGAGCTGCGGTAAAATTCTTCTGTTACTTTAATTTTTCCAGGGAACTACAGGCCGGTCAGTTTGACCCCAGTACCAGGGAAGCTCATGGAGCAGATCCTCTTGAGAGTCATCACACAGCACTTGCAGGGCAAGCAGGCGATCAGGCCCAGACAGCATGGGTTTATGGAAGGCAGATCCTGCTTGACGAACCTGATCTCCTTCTATGACAAAGTGACGCGCTGGGTGGATGAGGGAAAGGCTGTGGATGTGGTCTACCTTGACTTCAGCAAGGCTTTTGACACCGTCTCCCACAGCATTCTCCTCAAGAAACTGGCTGCTCTTGACTTGGACTGGCACACGCTTCGTTGGGTTAAAAACTGGCTGGATAGCCGGGCCCAAAGAGTCGTGGTAAATGGAGTCAAGTCCAGCTGGAGGCCGGTCACTAGTGGCGTCCCCCAGGGCTCGGTACTGGGGCCGGTCCTCTTTCATATCTTCATCAATGATCTGGACGAGGGCATTGAGTGCAC